CCCGACATCCAATCCCCCCCCCCCCCCCCCCTCTTCCCTACTTCCATCTCTCTCCTCCAACCTCTTTGTCACAATGGCTTTCAACAACACCGAGGCTCCCGTCAACACCTGCATGCCCGCCACGTGTAAGCACCCATCCCCACAGCCTTCAATCGTCCTTGCTCGAGGGGTCTTCACTGACGCTGCTTATCGCGACACGCAGGCGACAAGTGCGGCAAGACCACCTGGCGCGGCTGCGGCAAGCACATCGAGTCCGTCAAGGCCTCCGTGCCCAAGGACCAGTGGTGCGAATGCCCCCGCTCCTAAGCCACCCCTCACACCCGACCCAAGCAGACCTCACATTCAACTGCATCTCTTGACTCACCCTTACCGCCCGCACCGCTGTGACACGCAGGCATCGTTCGTACAATGATTTGCGATGAAGTGCAGTGAGCGCACGAAGTGAGCGGTGGTGGACAATCTAGCGAGTTAGTTGACAGGCTGGTCCTGACTCGCGCCATCGTCCTGCATGATCTTCTGCTTGGGCTGTTCGCTGGTGATGGCCTCCTTGCGCTCGAGCTCCTCCATCTCTTTCGCCTTGGCCGACCAAGGTCCCTCTCCAAACGCATGGTTGAGCGCCGACCAGACGTTGTTGACGTAGTGCACCTCGAGGTCATCCAGCACCGCCTTGGGCACGTCCGCCTCTACGTTGGGCTGGTTCTGCGCCGGCAGAATCACCTTTGTGATGCCCGCCCGATGCGCGGCCAGCAGCTTCTCCTTGAGCCCGCCCACCGGCAGCACCATTCCGCGCAGCGACACCTCTCCCGTCATGGCCAGCGTCGGCGCCACCGATCGGTTTGTCAACAGCGACGTCAGCGACACCGTAAACGCCACGCCCGCCGACGGCCCTTCCTTGCCAATCGCTCCTTCAGGCATGTGCAGATGCACATCCTTGTTCTCGAGCAAGCTGTCCTTGGCGTCCTTGACGATGCCCAGATCAAACGCATTCGTCTTCATCCACGACAGCGCGATCGACGCCGACTCCTTGATCACATCGCCCAGCTTACCGGTCAGCTGCAGACTGCCCTTGCCCGGCATGATGGTCGTCTCGATCGGCATGAGCGATCCCGAACCGTTGCCCAGGTAGCCCAGACCCGTCGAGACACCAGCAGGCATGGCGCTCGTGTACAGACGATCCTTGTGGTACACGGGTGGGCCGAGGTACTTGCGCAGGCTGTCGATCGTGATCTCCACCTTGACCTCCTTGGGCACCGCCATGGGCTGGCGCTTCTCGGTCGTCACCTTGGCTGGGGGCTCGGGCGCCGCATCCTTGCCAGGCACCTTGCCGTCCTGCAGCGGCTTGCTGTCCGGAGCCTCGCTCGTCGACGCCGACGGCTCGGGGAAGGCAGAGGGAGCAGAAGCACCATCCGCCGCTTGCCCGTCTACGTTGGGCGGGGTGGCGGACTGGGTTGCCGACGCCGACGCCAACTCGGTCTTGGCGCTCGCCAGCTCGCCCTCCTTGGGCTCCGGGAACACCGACTCGCCGTGCTCCTTGACAATGTCGAATGCGATCTTGCGGTACACCTTTTCGAGGAGCTTGCGCAGGCCACGCACTCCGCTCTCGCGCGCGTGGTGCTTGATGAGGAAGTCGATCGTCTCGTCGGGCAGCACAATGTTGGCATCCTGCAGGCCGGACGCCTCCTTGGCTTGCGGGCCGAGGTAGCCGCGAGCGATGTGGCGCTTCTCGTCCGCTGTGTACGATGACACCTCCATGACCTCCATACGGTCGAGCAGCGGCTGCGGGATGGTGTCGAGCGTGTTGGCCGTGCAGACGAAGAGCACACGCGAGAGGTCGACGGGCACGTCCATGTAGTGATCCAGGAACGAGCCGTTCTGCTCTGGGTCGAGCATCTCGAGCAGCGCCGACGAAGGATCACCGTTGTGGCCGCGGCCGATCTTGTCGACCTCGTCAATGAGGATGAGCGGGTTCTCGGTGCCCACCTTCTTGAGGGCCTGGATGGCCTTACCGGGCATGGCGCCGACGTAGGTCCTGCGGTGACCCTTGATCTCGGCGACGTCGCTGAGGCCACCCACGCTGAATCGGAAGAACTGACGCTCGACGGCGCGAGCGATCGACTTGCCGATCGAAGTCTTACCCACGCCGGGAGGGCCGACGAGACAGATGATCTTGCCCTCGACGGTGCCCTTGAGCTTGCCTACGGCGAGGAACTCGAGGATGCGGTCCTTGACGTCCTTGAGGCCGTAGTGGTCCTCGTCGAGCACAGAAGTCGCGTTCGAGATGGAGTAGTTCTCGGGCGAGTGGACGCCCCAGGGGATGCTGGTGAGCCAGTCGAGATAGCCGCGCGTCACGTTGAACTCGCTGGCGGCGGGCTCGAGCGTCTGGAGTTTGTTGAGCTCCTCGTCAAACACCTTGCGCACGGCTTCGGGCATGCGCAGTTCTGCGGCCTTTTCGCGGAACTTTTCGATCATCTTGTCCTTGCCGTCGCTCTCGATGCCGAGCTCCTTCTTGATGCCCTTGAGCTGCTCCATGAGGTAGTACTCGCGCTGCCTCTTTTGGATCTTGGACTCGACGTCCTTGCTGATCTTGCTCTGGAGCTGGGCGTTCATGAGCTCCTTCTTGAGAACGACGAGCGCCTTTTGAAGACGCTCGCGCACGTCGAGCGCCTCGAGTACCGCCTGCAGCTCGCTCACCTCGCCCGTCGAGACGGCGGCGGCAAAGTCGGCGAGCTTTTCGGGCTCCTCGAATACATTGCCTGCGCCCTGGGAGATGGAGAAGTTGGCGATCTGGTCGCGGAAGAGCGGGTTGAGGGTAGCGATGTCCTTGAATACGCTGATGAGCTCGGACATGACGGCGCGGATGTACTGGTCGTTGCGCTTGTCGTACGGCGCGGCTGCGAGGTTGGTGACGTTGACGAGCGATACGGCGTAGTCCTGCAGGAAGGAGGTCTGGAAGGGCGTCGAGTGGGAGGGCATGTCCTGAGCGTCGGCAGCATCGCCTTCGGGTTGCGACTCGGCGTCCGAGGGCTTGGGAGGAGCTGGTGGTGCGTTCTGCTGGAGGTGGGCTGCCGATGCGTCGTTGACTTCGGGGAGGACGCCGTCGTCGCGGGCCTCCTGTTGGATGTCGTGCACCTTTGCGATGGAGGCAGCCTTTACGGCTTCGTTGGCGGCTTCGTCGCTGACGGGATTGGCTGGGCCGGCGCCCTCGGTGCCTGGTGGGGGCGAAGGGATGGTCTGACCGGTGGGAGTGATGAGTTCGTCGATGCGGATACGGCGGTGCGGGTAAAGGACGGCAGTGATGCCCTCCTCTTCTTCGGCATTTTCGCCGTCCTTGCCCTTCTTGGCTCCGCCGGACTGGCCGCCGCCCTGGACGGGGAAGACGCTGGTGAC